TTGATCCTGGTTTTAATTTTTTTTTGGATCTTTGTGGTTTAATTTTTTTTTGATCCTGATTTTATTTTTTTTTGATCCCTCACCCAAACCCAAAGCCCTGAACCCTAATCCATTGAGAAACCGAGCCCCAAATCCTAAACCCTAAACCCTAAACACCAAACCCCCAAACCCCTAAACGTTGAACCCCTGAACCCTAAAACCTAAACCCTAGGCATGAACGAGCTGGCTGCTGTCCTCTATGCCGTGATGAAGCAGGGAGAGAGCTTGCCCCAGACGTTTAGGGTTTAGGGTTTGGGGTTTAGGCTGAACCCACAGCACTGGACAGTAATGAACTCGAATTCTAAACCCTAAACCCTGAAGCCTAATCCTCGACCCTCAACCCTAAACCCTAAACCCTGAAGCCTAATCCTCGACCCTCAACCCTAAACCCTAAACCCTGAAGCCTAATCCTCAACCTTATAGTTCCCAGACCTTCATAAGCCCTATAGGATCCCAAACCCTAAAAACCGCAAGCCTTAATCCTCACTTTTGCAATTCCCAAATCCTGAACTCAAGTCCGGTTGTGCTCTTGTAGTTTAGGTTTTAAGGTTTTGGGGTTTAGGGTTTTCTGGGTTTGCGATCTAAACCTGGAGCCAAGACCCTGAAACGTCACAGGATCCTAAACCCTGACCCCTATAACCCCTAAACCCTACAAGGCCCTAAGCCCTAAGCCTTAAAGTCAGAACGACCTGTAATATCGGGACCCAAATGATTACCTATACTACTTTGGGGGGTTCCTTACTATGATTATAGTATAATGGGCCCCAAAACCCTATTCTACTTATTAAGGCCCCTAAACCCTAAACCCTTATAGTAGCCCTTATAGATCCCTTTTTAGGAACCCTTTAAAGGAACCCTATGAAACCCTATTCTAACTATAAAGCCCTAAAGCCCCGAATCCTAAGCTCAAGAAGATCCTGAACCTTTCAACTCTGAGCTGCACTTTTTTCAAGGGAGGAAGGAGGTCCTGGGGGCTGTCGATTCCGTCGACACTAGGCTTAATCGTATAAGGTTCGGAATAAATTCAATATTTAGGGTTCCTTATTATCATTAAGTTAAAGTATGACATACCCTGATAGCCCTGTTCTAGTTATTTAGGCCACCAAAAGAGCTTGTCAGGGGCTTTTGAGATAGTGTTGTTCAGGATTTCAACGGGCGAGTCGAAAGAAGCTGAAGCTGGGGGTAGTGTGGATTTTGAGGCTGGTTTCTGGGGTCTGCATCTCGATTCCTACATCTCGGTTTCGAGGGACAGGGGTGGAGTCTTTCATGAGAGCCAGAGGCAGAGACCCCGCCACCGCAGCAGTGGCTCCTTACCCTGAAGCAGACTTCCCAAAATGGTTTCTGTGGGTTGCGCATTCCGGTGTGAGGTTTTCGGACCTTGAAATCAGCGTGGGAGCATTCCCAGGGGCTCCATCTTCTAGCCCCGTGCAAGGTTCAGCAATGGTGGCGTAGACCGTGAGGCTATGGAGCCCGCCGCCGAAACGGGCCAACCAAATGAACGGTCATCATCATCATCATCATCATCATCATCACCATCATCATCATCATCGTCATCATGATCATCATCATCATCACAATCACCGTCATCATCATGATCATCATGATGATCATCATCATCACCATCATCATCTTCAGCATCATCATCATCATCACCGTCATCGTCGTCATCATCATCATCATCACCATCACCAACGCCTTCATCATCGTCATCACAATCATCATCATCATCGTCGTCACCATCATCATCATCATCATCATCACCGTCATCATCATTATTATTATTATCATCACCATCACCGTCATCATGATCATCATCATCATCATCATCACCATCTTCATCACCATCATCATCATCACCATCATCATCATCAGCATCATGATCATCATCATCATCAGCAGCATCATCATGATCATCATCATCATCATCATTGTCGCCATCACCACCATCACAGTCATCACCATCATAGTCATCATCATCGTCGTCGTTAGCGTCACCCGTCATCATCGTCATCATCATAGTCATCGTCATCACCGTCATGGCCATGATCATCATCATCACCCTTATGATCATCATGATGAACAGGATCATCATCATCATCATCTTAATCGTCGTCGGCGTCGTCGTCGTCATCGTCACCCTCATTATCGTCACCCTCATCATCAACAATCATCGTGTTACAGCTGTTGCAGCAGGCATCACGAATTGTTCCTGCAGCACCCGCAACAAGGACAACCACCACAGCTGCTACTACTACTACTACTACTACTACTACTACTGCTACTACTACTACTACTACTACTACCACCACCACTGAGAACGACCACTGCTGCTGCTGCTGGTGCTGCCGGCGCTCCCCCTCCTCCTGCAGTTGCTGCTTCTGCCACTGCCACTGCTTTGTAGGATGTACTCTACTGACGACCAGTGCTAGTATCACTACCACCAGCATGCCGCTTCTGCCACAGCCACTACTATGGCCACCGGGGACTACCACTACCAACTACCTCCTAGTTCCACCTACTAAGACTACCCACGAGCCACGACCTGCCACATGCTACTGTCCACTAGTCATTAGTAGGTACAAGACCGATGGCAATGGGGAATGCTGGTATTGTTTCGGTTGCCTGTCAGGCGCTTGGCCCACGGCTCTGCGGCTCGCGCCACAACGAGGCAGACCGGCTTTGGTCTTGAGGCTTTCGCGAGTAGCTGTCAGATCAGGCCATGCTTGTAGGGTGAAGTTTTTGTAAGCACAGTACACTCAGGTCTCCAACCACAACAACGCCGCAAGATCTCGGGAGGTAGTAGTGAACAAAGCAGGCTGCCGCAGCATCCTGAACAAGCGCTCTCTTCAGGATGTCGGAATCATCCTGACAATGCTTCCTCTCGCGATCCATAGCCTACAAGTCCACAAGGCTTCGTGCAGACACACCTGCGAAATCCTGCGAACCTCATCCAATGACTCTTATGAGTGCCAGTACTCACACGTTAGACAGCTGAATGGTGGAACGTAATCAATGCCGTCTGCATACTATCCAAGCGCCTGTTTTCTCTGCAAAGGCTTGTATCTAAGTTTTTATCAGGCAATTCGGTTACGCACGTCGCCGTCTATAGATTCTACACATAGCAAAATACGGCGGTTCGCTAACCCCTAATGCTCTAAAACGGAGGCCTCGCAACAGACGCAGAGGGTAGAGAAGTCCAACCGTTTAGCATTCGGGACTACCTTGTGAATCATGACGCCGACAAGGTTCAAACGCTCTGGGTTTTCCGGTAGTACCATTTTTCCATTAGTCGAAACTGCGATATACTTCAAGATGCGAAGAGTCCTGGGAAACTGTTGCGAGAAATCTCTTCAAATTACAGCTTGAGCGCACATGAGCGCGCACAGGTAGACAGATCGACAGATCGAGAGATAGACAGACACGCAGATGGACAGAAAGATAGGCAGGGTGGTACATAAGTACATGCACTCACTCAGACTTTCATGCGTATGTCTATGCATGTGTACACATACATATATGCATATATGTGTGTGTACAACTTAGATAAGATATCTATATATATATATATAGATTGCTTCTGTTTTTTTATGATTGCTATGATTATCATGTTTGTTTTTGTTCTCATAGTCGGTTATGAACAAGATTATGCTTGTGACCCGTGTATTATTATCGTTGTTATGGTTTTTGTTAATCTTAAATTTTTTTATTAGTGTTATGACTGGTAGTTTTTCCGCGCAAACAAACAAACATACATGGATACAGATTATGCACACCTTATACATACATATATATATATATATATGCACATGATATATGTATATATATATATATATGTATATGTATATGTATATGTATATGTATATGGATATGGATATGGCGACACAAGGAGAAGTTTGAGCCCGCCAGGCAGATGCCTTTGCCTGCTTCGTCCAACTCATGGAGCGCGGGCCGGCGACCTGGAGCAGTCCTTTCGGGGTTAGGGCTTAGGGTTCAGGGTTCAGGGTTCAGGGTTTAGGGTTTAGGGTTTAGGGTTTAGGGTTGAGGGGTTTAGGGTTAAAGGGTTTGGAGTCGAGATTTGGGTTGAGGTTTGGGAGTTTAAGTTTCGCACTGTTCAGATCGCCGAAAGAGGGCTTGCGAGCCTTGAACTTCCAGTTCGTACTGCGGCCATCAGGACAGCTACAGTAGGTTACCTATAAACCCTAAAGCCTAAACCCCTAGGCTAGCTTTGCTGTACATTCAGTTTCACCCCGCAGCTCGCCATCGCCATGGCGCACTCGGAAGATCCTCCTCCTCCTCATCATCATCATCCTCCTCATCATCATCAGCACCATCACCATCATCATCATCATCATCATCACCATCATCATCATCATCATCATCATCATCATCACCATCACCATCACCATCATCATCATCATCATCATCATCCTCATCATCATCCCCATC